ATTGTATGGAATAATGTTTGGACATAAAAACGCATCATGTCTCATTATTTTGACAACGTTGTAAGCTCTCGCTCATTGAACATAGGAAGCTTGAGTTGAGTTGTTTCTTTGAAATTAAGAAGCGAGCACAATGTTTGCAAAGAAAGGTCCATTGCATTTGCTATGTCTATCATCGTAAAAAAAAGTGAGAGGCTCCCCCACCCCCCGAAATCCTGTTTGTTTTTCAAAATAGTGCAAAAGATTCCAAAATTGTTCATTACTAAGTACATCATGGAATATGTACTACAGGCACGTAGCATCGTTTTTGAAAGGGGGGGGGGGGCAACCTGAGTTGACAAGCAAAAAAAAAAAAAAAAACGAAAATTAACATTGCCCAAACTCAAAAATCTTATTTCGTGAGGGGGGGGGGGGTAGTAGTGACCAACTTTTTTTATGGCCAACTTCCTTTCATTTCAATTTTTTCCTATATTTTCTTGCTATCAATATAATGTGGTAAAACGGGGGGGGACCAGCTTTTCAATGGACATTTTCTATAGTAAAGGTAATGTTGGGAATGTTGGGCCCCCCTGCCCCCCCCCCCCGTTGCTACGTGCCTGTACTATCCTTATAAGACCACTTGTTATAAAAATATTTGGTAGCCCTCTCTCCCGATCTACTGCCTGGAAATGGCCCGACTCATTTTTTTTGGCATCCCATTACACGATATTTTTTTTTCTTCCGTCAACAATTATGTTTTATAAATATAAGAAATTTCTTTCTCACCTATAAATACGGACCCAATAATTTTTCTCTGAGTTTATAGGACCACCTAACGTCATTTCGAAGATGGTATAAAATATTTAATTATGTTGATTTTTCTCTTTACTTTGCAAAATTTTAATTTTGACAATATGGGCAAATAGAATATTTTCGTCACAAGTACCTGCATGACGTCATTTTCAGATTGTGACATCACAAACAAGGAGCAAAACTTCAGCATGAACTTATGTTTGGCTGTATCTAATCTGAATTGTGGTTTTGTAGATATAGGGATAGTTCGCGAACTTTTTGATCACCCCTCGTACTACATGAAGTAAGTATTAGAACAAGGTCATTCATATCGATTATACGAGGGCTGTTCAAAAATTACGCGGACTTGTTGCACAGAAGAAATATTTGACGACATAATCGTTCAAAATTTCACAAATAATATAAAAGAATCTTTACTTATATAGTTTTCAAAATGTCATATCAAAATGTTGTAAATTGGTATAAATTTTGAGTGATTTTTCAGGACATACCATTAAGTCACGGCGCAGCAAAATCTTTGACGTCACATGCATTATAAAAAAATATGTGATTGAGCTTTCATTTTCTCAACATTTTCCCTTGAGTACCTGTATAGTTTGAGTTACCTTATCTACTCAACATCAAAACACAATTTCTTGTCAAGCTTAAAATCTATTAAACAAGTAAAAAAAATTTTTTTTGTTTTAAAACCAAAAACTACTTATGAGATATAGTGTGATATTGGTGACTCTCAATCACGTTCTTTACAGTCCGGATAAAGTTAACTTTTTGTCTATAATCTTCTTCCCGTCCTCCCGTATAGCTTTTTTACAGAGGTCTAACTGTCTAAAATTTCAATTTGCTATTTCTTGGCGAATGTCACGAGTAGCCTAGTTTACTAAATGTTTTATTATGCATATTTTGGATCTATGTTGCCGATATCTCGAGCATTACACATATTTTGACAAAAGTGTCGTGCGCCGTCAATTCAGGAGACGTCATTTTCACAGTCGTTTTCATGGGAATTGCATCAGAGAAAAATCACTATATTTCTGTTAGTACTTCAAATATTACGTTCGAAATTTAAATACATAATAATAGAACAATTTAAAGGTACATTTGAGAAAATTGTTGAAAAATATCGCGAATTTTAGAATATCAATGAGTTTAATTTTTGAATCCGCATGCTTTTGCTTCAATTTTTTGTCGTGCGCCGTACCTCTCAATCAACGATATCAACATACTACGGAAGCGTATTAGTGCCACGCAATATTTTTTTTAAAGTCGGAAAAGCCAAGATTAAAGTTGGTAATTCCAACTTTAATCTTGGCTTTTCCAACTTTAAAGTTGGTAATTCCAACATTAAAGTTGGAAATTCCAACTTTAATCTTGGCTTTTCCAACTTTAAAGTTGGAAATTCCAACTTTAATCTTGGTAATTCCAACTTTAAAGTTGGTAATTCCAACTTTAATCTTGGCTTTTCCAACTTTAAAGTTGGTAATTCCAACATTAAAGTTGGAAATTCCAACTTTAAAGTTGGTAATTCCAACTTTAATCTTGACTTTTTCAAATTTAAAGTTGGTAATTCCAACTTTAATCTTGGCTTTTCCAACTTTAAAGTTGGAAATTCCAACTTTAAAGTTAAACATTCCAACTTTAAAGTTGGTAATTCCAACTTTAATCTTGGCTTTTCCAACTTTAAAGTTGGTAATTTCAACATTAAAGTTGGAAATTCCAACTTTAATCTTGGCTTTTCCAACTTTTAAGTTGGTAATTCCAACTTTAATCTTGGCTTTTCCAACTTTAAAGTTGGTAATTCCAACTTTAATCTTGGCTTTTCCAACTTTAAAGTTGGTAATTCCAACATTAAAGTTGGAAATTCCAACTTTAATCTTGGCTTTTCCAATTTTTAAGGTGGTAATTCCAACTTTAATCTTGGCTTTTCCAACTTTAAAGTTGGTAATTCCAACTTTAATCTTGGCTTTTCCAACTTTGACTTTTAACGTTGAAGAAAGGATTTTATTATTTATTTACTTATCAATTTTTGGTATATCAACAAAAGAAATCCTGGATCCGCGCTAGTACGGAATTGATACTTTTAGTTATGTTGTATATTTAGCAGAAATGTTTCATTTGATTAAATAAAATTTGATTACATTGAGTATTTAATTGCTGTCTCATTCTTTCATACATAATAAATTGGCTAATATCTGAAATTGGTTAAGTTTAAATCCTGTCATGTACGGAATACTGTGTACATAATTTATATGAAGTTATTCTCAATAGAATTACACAAGAGGTCTTAAAGGAATATAAGGATTTCTAAGTAAAAGTTTGAAGTTTTATGTAAGGTCATAAGCAAGGTCAAGGTAAAAAAATAAAACAAACACAGATAAAAAGAAGTAAACAATTTATTTTAATTGGCTAGTATTTATTTTCCATTGTAAAAGTATAATATTATAACTCCCCATAATCCCTTCCGCTCTTCTTTGCCCCCCCCCCCCTATTTCGACCCTAGCTACCCCTAGATTGCAATAATAAATTGCTAACAAATCTATTTCAGTGTGATATTGTCATTTAATTAAGTTTGTGATACTTTCAACAAAAGAAACAACTTAGAAAAGCGGGTAGAAGAGCTCGAATAAAAGTTTGAAATGCCAAGATTAAAGTTGGAAAAGCCAAGATTAAAGTTGGAATAACCACCTTAAAAGTTGGAATTTCCAACTTGAACAGGTCGGAGAGAGTACTTGAAATCGGGTATTATCCGTGTAATCGCGTATAATACTCGATATTAGGGTATCGTTGAATCCGCGAAATCGGGTATTCCGTGCATCTTTCTCACACCTCCTAACCTCATTAGCATAAATCGGAAGAATTCGGAGATAAACGTAATAAAATATGAACAAAATCCGTAAACGTCCGAACAGCTTTCCTCGCGAGAATTCAGCGAGACCAACATGCTACAGGTGAAAATCGAGAGAGGAATTCAACATGAAAAAAGAGGTAAAACTTTACGTTATCTCGCTTTATAAGATTTGTAAATTGCAAAAAGTTGAAAAACAAACGTTTCTTTACCTGAAAAGTGAAAGTAGGTTTGCAGTTTCTTATTCTATCAAGTGCTTTTGCACTTTAAAGTGTCAAAACAGCACCTCTCGATTTTGTAAACATGTTTCCACGTGGAAGGGAGTAGTTGTGATAGTCAACATTAACCCACATGCATTGATTTAGTGAGCAAAAACACTCGTAAGTAGAATTTCAGTTATTTTTTCGATTACCTCTAGCGCAAAATGGCTAAATATTTTAGGGCATGTTTGTCAAATGCTGTTAATAGCATGTCTAAAATAGAAATGCAGGTGTGCTATAGTTCGTTCCTACTTGTAAGGTAGTCTACTATGCATGCAAATACTTATCAATACCTACTGATTTGTGAGAACCATATGTGTTTTTTCAAATGCCAAGAGACTAGCCTAAAATTTAATTCTATCCGTACTCATGCATACTCATGTGTATGCACAAGAGGTCCTTCCGAATTTCCTCTACAAATATACATGTGTACCTGGATTAAGGATTAAAGGTTTGTTTACATTTGTTTGCCGTTTTAATAGTGTCAGCAGTTTATATCAATCATGCAGTTTTCACTAGAGCCTTCTGATCAAAATATGGTAGTTACTTTTCTAATTTAATATCATAGAATTTATGATCAGATGATGTCAATGCAGTTCTCATGCACACACTTGTGTATATATCAGATATGAAACTTCACATATGCAGTTGTTGCTCGCGTGGTGCAGTGATTAGAGAGTCTGCTCTAGAGTCAGGAAGTAAGGAGTCAATCCTTACGTCGCTAATTCCAATCCCACTGTGGGACGTGGAGACCATATAAACCGAGGCCCGTGTCGCTGTAGGTGCTGGCACAAAAAAGATTCCTCCCTGCTCAAAGGCCCTCACCCAAAATTTGTAGCCCTCCACCGGCAAGTGGTGGCGTCTCCATATGAGTGAAAAATTTTCGAGAGGGACATTCTAAACAACATACAATCAATCAATCACATATGCATGGACAGACATACCGATTACTTGATATACCCTCCTGCTTTTCAAGTGGGGGGTATAATAAATTACATGCATGCATGCATCAATCTGCATGTGTAATGAAAAAATATTGCTAAATGCTAAAGATAATTTACATTGATGTTTTGCATTTATGTTTGTAAGAATACATGTATTTAATTTACATATTGTTTAATTATTTCAATGTGTTAAATGAAAAGTAATTTTCTTTTTTGTTTGTCTATTGCAGGTACAGCTGTAGAGTACATTTTGAACAGCCATCTCCAGGTATGACAAAAATAACACAATTGACCCTATAAGGTTAAATAAACAAACATTATTGAATTTAGAAAATGTATATAATGAAGCACAAATGTGAAATCATTGTAGGCCCAGGCTAGAAATAGTTTTCTTTCACTGATCACTCAGGCTTTTTACTGGTCAGATCATCATAATATCACTATCCAACTCCCAAGCTACTAGATTTAATAAAAAGAGACTGACCCAAAACCATAATAATAATAATCATGATAAATGTAATAGTTATATTTTGTTTATTTAATGTGATACACAGTTGGACAAATAATTAATCTAAACAAAACAGGATTCTGAAATGACAGAACTTTGAAACAAGCCTGTCAAGTTACTAGCCCAACTATAATTGTATTTTGTTATACATGTACATAGAACTGACCCAAAAACAGATGCCCCCTACCATGTACTATCCTAGATAAAACAAAAATCACTGACCCCAGTCCAGTGGGCCTTCAATTATTTTTTAGCCTTGCATTGTAAAGTCAGCTATCGAGACATTCCGTCCTTTTTGTTGTTTGTTTAGTAATGATATGCACCATCCCACACAAATTATACACACAAGAAAATATATTTTTTTCTCCACTTTTAAAAATGGGCTTTCTTTTGAAGAATGACATTGTTGATTGAATTTAAAAATGGTCTTCAATATGTATGCACATGATAGTGATGATACTGTATTAAATGCACAAAAATTATAATTTCATTAAAATGAAACAAAAAAGCAAATATAAACTTTTAAAAAAGAAAATCAAATCAATTCATTTGTAATGTGCAATGATTGAATGTTTCTTGCAGGATATACTCTGAAGACAGTGATGTGCAAGTTCAAGGTTTGCTTGTTGTGAGTATTGTATATGTATAACTGTAAGGATAAAATTATAACATATTTAATATGCAACATTATTATTTAATTATTATCATCCTGATCATGCTGATTGGAATAAACAAATAAAAAATATTAAGCATGCCCAGTTACTCCAATATCTACATGTACAGGTATATCAATGTGTAAAACTAAAGAATCCTGTGTAAAGTTATATATAGTTAGAGAGAGAGAGAGAGAGAGAGAGAGAGAGATATGTTGATAAAAGGGTCAATATAATTGAAAATCATGCATCAGTGATTTTTGTTTTTGTTTAATTCTCAAAAGATTTAATCACATTCTGTTCTATTTTCAGCAGATACTTTAATAATAAAGAATGGGTGAAAAAATTTTCACATTATCAAGCTGCATAATAGTACATGTAAGTTCAAAGGCAGAAGAAAATCCATTAAAAGAGAATTTATAAATACAGTTGGTTGTCTGTTTTAGCAAACATGAACTGAAAATTATGCTGATACATAATCAGCATATTATGCAAACTGTAAATGATTGCATTACATATTTTTCTGATTTGCATGTAGTGCATTGATATTTGTCAGTATTTTTCATTCCGTTTTCTTTCCACATTATTGCAAATGCTTGTATTTTATTTGGATTAATTAAATGTAGAGGATTGGTATTAACTTATTAATCATATTTGTAGTTCAGCTGTAACAAAACAAATCATCTGATGAAATCTTTAACCACGAGAATCTAGGAAAGGATGTCAAGTCCAAAGAGAAGGTATGTTGATTACTGGTGATGATATGTTATTGATGTATATAGAGTACAGCAATAAAATAGAGAGGACAATAGTAATCTGTAGACAAAAAATTAAATCTTAATTCCTTTCAAGAATAGGCAGGTCATTATTAGTCACTCTGAGATAGTTAGGAGCAGATTTAGATTTGTTCAGATCATATAACTATAGGGTAGGGTGGGTCAACAGTGGGGGGTCAGAGTTTTATTCTGGAATATTTAAGTGAATACAGTGCAGTCTAAATAAGTACAGTTAAACAACAGTATCTTAAAATCAAAAAACTTTGACTACCTATATAGGGTATGTTGACGTTCGTGACAGTACATTGTGTATTACAAATTGGATGAATGATTTGCAAACACTATATATGATTTACTTTTGTAAATTTAATTTGCTCATTTTGCGCATATCTCTTTCTCATGCAGATTAATAATGAACAATGATAGATTGAATTAGCAACTGTAAATGGCATACATGTATATGAATTTTATATAATCTGTTTAGAGTTGAACTTTGGTATATATCTTTTACAGTTGACACTGAGTGATATTTTGAACACATTGAGATATCAAAGTCATTTTAAAGTCCATTGAACGACATTTTTTTTCTATATATCTTACCCTGAATCTCTTTGATATCTCAGTTTTTTTTTCAGCAGTCCCATGAGCATTTCAAGATAACACGTGTGACTTAAATATTTTATTGATTCAATTAATTTATGATGAATTATAAAAATATCAATCATATACTTTTATGTTAATGCATTAACATTTTATATTTTTCAGGCCATATAACAAATGGTGGCTGAATTCATAAAGACTAGCTGGGATGATCCAGTACTTTTCTACTCATATGAACCATATCTAAACATCATTTGAGGATCCCTTTCTCAGAAAAAAAAAATTTGCATATTCAGACTCTGTAGTTTATTGTTTATTTGTACGTTGTTTAACATTCTTCTTTTCACTCATATGGGGATGCCAACATTTGTCGGTGGAGAGCTGCAAATTTTGTCCTTAATTTGGCACACATGGCTAATTGAGCAATGAGGGATCTTTTTGGTACTAGCACCTACTGCAACACAGGACCTCTGTATATACAGTCTCATCTATGTCCGACTGGGGGATTTCGAACCAGCAATTTATGGATCAACTCCTTACTCATGACTCTCAAGCAGATGGTCTTGCCACTGTGCCATGCAGGTGACTTCATAGGTTATAAAATAAGATAAGATTTATAACTTAAAACTGATGTTTTTAATTCAATCACAGTATAAAAAATGTTTGCAAAAAAGGGAGGTAATAGCTACATGTAGCTCTCACTGGTATTGCATGCTTAAACTGTATGAATTACATATTGTAATTACACATGTATTTTAAACCAGATCAGTAGAGAAAGAAACACTTGAATATTTTTACTATGAATTTTATTATAAGGTTGATTATCTTTAAAAAATGGAACGTTAATTTTTTTGAGTAGGAAAAAAAAATATTTAGAATGTACATGTGCACTTTCTAATAAACAAAATTATGTACATGTGCACTTAATTTTGTTTATTAAAAATAGTCAAAATTTGGAGATCTTGTGAAGGGTATCTAAATATTGATTTATAAATTTTTACTTCATTTTTAAACAGCATAATCTTTATTATAATATATGCCTGTAATATACAACTTATTTGTTTAACATTCCATTGTCTGTCTACATGTAGTGCTTAGTAAATTTCTTGTAAATAAAAACATGATTGCATGCTGTTTGTTTACCTTGTCTTTTTTTCAATATGAGTCATGATATATAAATGGTGTGCATATTAGTTTAAATTATTTTTGTTGAATTCAGTTAACAAAAAAAATTAATAGATGAATATGATTACCTAGATAGATACCTTCCAGAAATATTTACATGTACTAGTAGCTGCAGATATGTAGCTTATGTGAAATCAGGTATACTTGAAACTCAATTTACCTGTATTTATTAAACAGAAATTTAGTGAACACATTCATATACCTATGCAGTATTTCATATTGAAAATACACTGTGTTAATGTTTTACTTATTTAACATAAAAATTGACCAGACGTGATCTTAATGAAATAAAACATATCTCGCAATATTCCCCCCCCCCCCATTTTATCACAATTTAAATGTATATAAATTGATAAAAGAAACTGACTATACCATTAAAAAAATCTTGAGTTGTCTTTCCTTTTTTAAAGAAAATATCTGATGCAATGAATGCTCCCTTGGGTTCATGACCCTGAATATTAATAAGGTTGGGAGGTGTGTTTCTATAAAAACTAAAGAATAAAGCAACGGCGCATTATGCCAGTAACTGTTACTTGTACATCTGTATCTTGTGATTTTATTTTTATCTAACCTAATTCATAAGGTTCTCAAATAAGTTTAAAATCACACGACAAACACTGCTGGGGTAACAAAGAGGACACAATGGCGTTATTATTTTTCAATATAATTTCTAAAAACAAACAGCTACACTTCGTTTGTCTTTATTTCCCATTTAAGTATTCCATATACTTAATTTTCTTATTTGTGCACTATTCACAAAACGTGAAATTTTAAAGAAATTAAACGACTAACGCCGTGTTATGTATTTTTACTGAAAAATGTATGGCGTCCCTTTCTCGTGAAATATAAATTATTCCTAACAGTTAGAGAGTACAGTATAAGCGAGTCATAATTGTATATCTCTGCAATAATAGAATACCAACGTTTAAATAGTTATTATAAAGAAGGAAATAAAATAAGATGAAATAAATACCCTCGGGAAAACAGTTTGAAAATAGGTAATTGAAGGTAAGTGTAATGTGTTTCAATTGGGATCGGGCTCGGGGTACTAAAACTATGGAAGAGAAGCTTCGGGAATAAATGTCGCATGTTTATCATGTTTTGACTTTTTGGGCCAAGACTAGTGAATATATTACATTGGCGACGAGGATTCGGAACGCTTGAATTCTCTTTATCGAAGAATCAGCATGACCCACATTGGAAAAGTCGGTGAGTTTAATGAAAGCACAGAAAGCTTCGCGAATTATGTGGAGAGACTTGAACAATTTTTCGCGGCAAATGAAGTTAAGGACCAAAAGAAAGTAGCAGTATTTTTGTCGATTATTGGTCCAACGACTTATGGAGTTTTGAAAAATTTAGTGCAACCAGCCCTGCCGAAAGAAAAAGAGTACAAAGATTTAGTGCAAGTGTTGCGGGGGTATTACATGCCCAAACCTTTAGTTATTTCTGAAAGATTTAAATTCAATAAGAGAAACCAGAAGGAGGGTGAAAGTGAAAGTTAAAGAGGCTAACTACACATTGTGAGTTTGGAGAATTTCTGCCTGAAGCACTTAGAGATCGACTGGTTTGTGGGTTACGGTCAGAAGCAATACAGAAAAAGTTGTTATCAGAGACGGAACTGGATTTCGATGAAGCGGTCAAGATTGTGTATGCCATGGAAACGGCTGAAAAAGACACATTGGCATTTTTGACTCCTGATCCAGGAATACACAGTATGGAAACAAAATATTCAGGGAGGAAATCTGAGAACCGAAAGAAATTTCAAAGACAATATTCGGAGGAATGTTACCGATGTGGGAATAACCATAACCCGAAGGAGTGTAAATTCAAAGAAGGCAAGTGTTTCAAGTGTCAGAAAATTGGCCATATAGCAAAGAAGTGTCACATGAAAAAAAAATCAGAAAAATCAACACTGTTTGTGGCTAAGCCAGATGATGAGACATCAGATTCATCAGACAGCATTTGTTCTATTTTCTGTACCAATGAAAAAGACCATAGCAGAAGGAAGTTGACAGTGAACATAACAGTGGGAGATGAAGAGGTAGAATTTTTAATTGACACCGGGAGTGTTCGTACCATTGTAGGTGAGGCAGTTTACCAGAGACATTTAGAGCATTTCAAGCTCACAAAAACAGATACTGTACTTCGTTCATATACTGGAGATGAAATCGGGCTGCTGGGAGTGTGTCATGTTCCTGTAAAGTACCAGGATCAAGAATTCGTTGAGCTACCATTGCTAGTTGCCCAAGGACAGCGACCAAGTTTATTGGGGAGGGACTGGCTGTCAAAAATAAAACTCAACTGGCAAGAAGTCTTTGCAGTCAGTATGAATGAAATGGAGACCCTAAGGAGAGAGTATAGTGACCTATTCTTGCCAAGCACAGAACCAATAAAGGATTTTAAAGCACAGATAAGGTTGAAGGATGACGGACATCCAATATTTTGCAAAGCACGCATAGTACCCTATGCTATTAAAGAACAAGTGGGAATGGAACTGAGAAAACTAGTTGAGCGAGGTGTTCTTCAGAAAGTAAAAAATAGCTCCTGGGCTGCACCTGTAGTGGTGGTTCCAAAGGCAGACCAGTCAGTGAGGATTTGTGGAGACTATAAGATGACAGTTAATCGGGTTATCAGCGAGGAGCAGTACCCACTGCCCAACACAGATGACATGTTTGCCAGCTTAGCAGGTGGAAAAAAATTTACAAAATTGGATCTAAGTCAAGCCTATTCTCAGCTAGAATTGGACAGAGAATCTCAAGAATGCCTTACCATTAATACTCACCTTGGACTCTTTCGATATGCCCGGCTACCTTATGAAATTAGTTCTGCAAGCGCAATATTTCAGTCAGTTATGGACCAAGTCCTATTAGGATTAGATCATGTGGTATGTCGGATAGATGACATTCTCATTACAGCGGCGGATGATACTACTCACCTGAATACGCTTCAAGAAGTATTTCGACGTTTGCGAAAGCATAACATTAAGTTGAAAGCAGAGAAGTGCGAGTTTTTTGCAGACCAAGTGGTTTATATGGGGTTCCTGCTAGATCACAATGGAGTACACCCAACAGAAGAAAAGGTTAAGGCCATAAATGATGCACCTAGACCTACTGGAGTAAAGGAGTTAAAAGCTTTTCTTGGGTTGTTGAATTACTATGGTGCTTTTCTGCCAAACTTAAGTACTGAGTTAAACCCACTCCACAAGTTGTTAAAGAAGCATGAACCGTGGAATTGGACGGCTGACTGTGAGGAGAGTTTTAATGTTTGTAAAAAGATGATCACTGAGAGTAAACTTTTAGTGTTTTACGACTCCAAGAAACCTCTCCGATTATCATGCGACTCATCTTCCTATGGAGTTGGAGCAGTAATATCGCATGTAATGAAAGATGGCTCAGAGAGACCAATAGCTTTTGCCTCCAGAACACTGAGTGAAACCGAGAGACGGTATGCTCGAATAGAAAAAGAGGCACTGTCATTAGTTTTTGGAGTAAAGAAATTCCATAAGTACTTGTTTGGACGCAAATTTTCATTGGTAACAGATCACAAACCGTTATTGTCAATTCTGGGACCGAAAAAGGGTGTTCCCCCATTAGCTGCAGCCAGAATGCAACGTTGGGCACTGATACTGGCTGCGTATCAGTATGACATTCAGTACAAATCATCTGAACAGCATGGTAATTGTGATTCCTTATCGAGACTACCACTACATGAGACAGAACAGGAGGATACAGAAGAAGGAGTATTTTCATTGGATATGTACTTACCCATCTCCAGTCAGGAGATAGCTATGGCTACCCGAAGAGACCCGATTCTGTCCAGGGTGTATGATTTCACTCTGAACGGCTGGCCAGCTCATGTAGAGGATTCTGATTTGCAGCCTTTCTTTGATAGAAGGAATGAGCTTACACTGGAAAAGGGATTGCTCTTGTGGGGGATGCGAGTGGTAATTCCAGACAAGTTTAGAGGTCGCTTGTTCTAGAGCTGCATGATGAACATTTAGGAATGTCTCGAACAAAAGCCTTAGCCAGGGGGTATCTTTGGTGGCCTTATTTAGACAGGGACATTGAAGACATGGTTGAAAGATGTTCAGCTTGCGCATCTACTAGAAACACTCCAAAAGAAAGCCCCCTGCATCCTTGGATTTGGGCTTCTAGACCGGGGCAACGAGTGCATATAGATTATGCAGAATATAAGGGGCAGTCCTTTCTTGTTATTGTCGACAGTTATTCAAAATGGCTGGAAGTCATACCAGTGAAGTCCACCACAAGCAGCAATACCATAGAGAAGTTAAGAACATGGTTTGCCTCAGTTGGAATACCTGAAGAAATAGTGAGTGACAATGGGCCCCAGTTCACATCTTCTGAGTTTCAAGACTTCATGAAGCACAGTGGAGTTAGACATACACTTGTACCGCCCTATCATCCTCAGTCAAATGGGTTGGCTGAAAGAGGAGTACAGATTCTAAAAAAAAGCATTAAAGAGGCAAGATTTTGATGGTCATAGATGGTCTCTTCAGCAGCGCCTTGCCAACTTTTTGTTAAGGTATCGCATAACTCCACATAGCACTACTGGTACATCACCTGCAGAACTATTTCTTAAGCGCCAGTTAAGAACCCGGTTGAGTTGCATTAAACCTAATCTTCGGGAGTCGGTGGAGGAGAAACAGCAAAAGATGAAAGAACAACATGATGGTGGACAGTGTAAAGTCGGGGAATTTCAGGGAGGTGAACAAGTTCAAGTGAAAACAACTATTCCAGGACAAAAATGGAAGTGGATATCTGGTGTGATTCATAGAAAGTTGGGACCATTAACTTATCTTGTGCGAGTTGGAAAACGCATCCGCTATTGCCACGTAGATCATTTATTAGCATCGTCTGCTACGATGCTGGAGCCGGAACTTACACCGCTGCCCTTTGATGTAGAGTTACCCTCTTTTAAGGAGTCAGGAATGGATCGGGCCTTAGTGTCTCCAGATGAAACAGGAAAGGGAACTCCTGAGATGGTGGAAACTCGAGAAAAACTTGCGGACTCTGTAAACAAGGATACCAAGGTGCCTGATCAGACTGATGCAGTGCCGGAACGTCGTTATCCACTCAGGATGAGGAAACCCACTAAAAAATTGGACTTATAGAGCGAAATCGTTGGTAAACTGTGCTGCATGTTGCAGTTCTTATGACAATACAAAATTAATCATTAATCATTACTTTGTATGTCCAGATAGGATTTATTCATCTTTTGTATTTTTTATTATCTTTTGTGTAAAAGGGGAGGAGTGAATTGGGATCGGGCTCGGGGTACTAAAACTATAGAAGAGAAGCTTCGGGAATAAATGTCGCATGTTTATCATGTTTTGACTTTTTGGGCCAAGACTAGTGAATATATTACAGTAAGTATCTTTTTATGTTAATTTAGCGTGAAATTTTTATTCAAAGACACCGTTAATTTTTTGGTTGCATTTTAATCAATACAAAATATACTATTTTACCTTTATTTTAGGCATTTGTGTGAAAATTGAGAGCGAGAAGTCATATGAACAGGATTTTCTTGTTTTATTTTTTTTTGGGGGGGGGGTTAAATAAAAGTCAAATGTGTACATCTTTTCATGAAGTTAAAAAACATTGAATTAAATAGTCAAGTTTTCACATTTTTTATAGTTTTTACGTTTATGAACATGTTAATGAACAAACTGGAATAATGGAGTGTTCAATTGCATTGGAAACTCTTGTCTCACTTTTTGGGAATATAATTACTCATCGGACATTAAAATTTTATAAAAATCGTAGCCACTTCCTTTCTTTATTATACTATTTGATAGACAGGGATAGACAGGGTAAATTTTACCTCTTTACCTTCTATATTTTTTTTATATCGCTATCTTATACCTCATTACATGTATAATATGCTAATATTAGACACTATCTGATTGATTCTAGACAATATGTCACAGTTTTCTTTTAGTTATTTTATCTACGATACGTATTACTCATGGCGATAACTTTTCCTAATACTCATCTATAATAAAAAATGGGTTTGAAAAATAAACATGAATTCTAGTTACTTGTAGTCTTATATTGTGTTAGAAAGTAACAGGTTGCTTTTTGTTTACCTACAATTTATTTGATTTTTATTTAATGAATAAATCTTCCCTACGATTAAAAATATATGAACGAGTTTAACCGATCGTGACATTCAAAGAAAGGTCTCTTGGACACATGTAGAACATAGTCGAGGTTGTTTTGTCAGAGGTGGTCAAGAAGCCTTTAGCCCCCCCCCCCCCTTTTGAAGTCGTTAAGAAATGGTAAAATATTGATGACTTAGCGAAATTAAACGATAAAGAGTTATGTTCTCTCATAAGCTATATTTCTGAAACTATCACTGTCACTGCTAAAATGTTGAAGACATATTCTGCAAATATGTTTGAATGATAAATAAAAAAGAAAATATTTTCAAAAAAAGAGAAAGGGGGTTCTTTTAGCCGAAATTTTAGACATTTTTATCATTACATTATTTATACATTCTTAAATAAATTTAATTTTATGCCAAAATGAATGTGAAAGTAATTAATGACGTTTAATTAGATACGATACACAATCCCTTGTTTAAACATGGCATCATATCTGGTGTGTGAAATGTGTTTCCGTATAATTTTATTTATTTACAAATTGTTCATGTTTGTCGTGTTGATGTGGAATTATTATACATTCCCGAATTCTGATACTTTACAATTCTGTTGTGTTTGGAATGAACATTAGGAAGATGTATCTACTTTCAACATAAGTAAAAATATAAAGCAAATCGAACACCTTTTTGTGTGCAAATCATGAAATGTACTGAGCTCCAGAGGTATTTGTTGTCCCGGGCGCATTAATCTTGAAGCCCAAATTCTTACTTGACTAGTGATACCTTTAGAAAACATGTGTATCTAGATGAAAGTTTACTCGGCAACATGTGCCATCCCATTGTTTAAGTTTTATTAGGTGATTACACCTCCTATACCCGATTTCGTGGATTCAACGATACCCTAATATCGAGTATTATACGCGATTTCACGGATAATACCCGATTTCGAGTATTCTCTCCGACCTGTTTAAAGTTGGAATTTTCAACTTTAAAGTTGGATAAGCCAAGATTAAAGTTGGAATTACCAACTTTAAAGTTGGAAAAGCCAAGATTAAAGTTGGAATTACCAACTTTAAAGTTGGAATTACCAACTTTAAAGTTGGAATTACCAACATTAAAGTTGGAATTACTAACTTTAAAAAAAATATTGCGTGGCACTAATACGCTTAACCTTTACAAAGTTTTGTTAATTTTAATCATAAGAAATGCTGTTCTTTTTCCTTACTCTTGAAGCACAAACTACATTTTATGAAACTTTTTTTTCCATTTAACAACATTTGACATCTTTTACAGTTATTTACCTTTGTATTTTGTTCGTAAGAACATTTTTTATTGTGTCAATTAACATGATCGTAGATTGACCTGAAGTACGTGTTCGAAGTAAAATGTAAACATGTAAACGTTGCTATTCATTCTTGAAACAATTGGTCAGTTGCTCATGGTAAGATCCTCTGTGCGCATTTATAACAATAGCCATATAAGGCAAACAAAGGTTTGTCAGTGTCGATGATAATGCACATTTTTTTCGGTCACTATATAGTGAGCTCTAATTTTCGCCTAAGAGTAATATGATATATTGTAATTTTAACACCTCCTCCTTAAGCGACCCTTATTCTGTTGAAAATCATGAAAGTCTTTCAGAAAGATCTGGAAACATTTATTGCAGGACACGTTTTCAAAAGAAACAAGCTATAGCAATATCATGTTTACTGCCAATTTTATTAATAAAACCGGTTGTACCCTATAACCTTTGAATAGATCAACCTAAACCACGTGTCTTGAATTTAAATCACAACAACATTAATAAAATTGGCCAAAGAGGATGTCGATAAGTATTTAGTATTTTTATGATTAAAATCTGTGTTTCTTTGTTTGTTTATAATTACTTCTGATTTTTTTTTTGCCTCAAATACTCAATAGGCACTTAACAATATCAGACCAGGCCGTCTAAAGGATTCGTCGACAAAAGACAGTCAAATTTGTCAAGACTTCCATTGACACCCCCCTCCGCCATTTTGCTTCAGATTAAACTTAAACAAAAACTAGTATTGCCATCTTTAAAAAAATTGTTTAGTTGCCCTCTCCCGACTGACTGGCTAAAAATGGTCCGACTCAAAAATTTTTTTAACCTCCAATTATTTTCTAAGTACTCTTGAAAATGGAAATAATAAAAAAAAACATTGAAATTGAAATTTTTTGAAAGAAAAAAAATTCTCAACTACTAGAACCTACCGACCCAATATTTTCAGAACTGATCAAGATAATGCAACCAAACAGTTCTCTAAAGGTGGCCCAGTAGGTTAGGATTATAATAACAGACGAAAAAAAGTTTTAAAATAAAATCAAATAAAATAATTTTCACTAAATCTTACCAAGAAATAAGCGTAAAAGTACCTTTTCTGGTGGAGATACGTGACAAGAAGCTCCACGGGGGAGCAAATTACGTCATCAATTACCATGGAGAAGGAGTCACGTGCTCTACAGTTTGAATGTTATAATAATTTATGAACGCTTGATCTACTACCATTCAATAGGGTATATAGAAAATATAAACAATTGAAGTTAAAAATATCGAATGATTCTTTGAAATTGTTAGTTAACCGAAACATTTTTTTGTAAATACCGTCCTATGCGAATTTTGGTTCAAATATATATAGATATTGCTGCAATGGGGTATACAATGAAGAATACCGGCGACCTTAGGCTAGATTTTAAATGCCAAAACGTATTTGATATTAGTTATTTCATTACATTGTTTAACCAAAATTTTGTCATACAATCTTAGTTAATACATGTGTAAAACCAAATCACACAAAAATAATAGTTAAATGACATGTTTTAAAAAATAGTTCCCTCATGTTCTATCAATGAGTACCCCCGCGTTCCTCTTTAAATTATATTTTGATATATGTTTCTTGTTCTTGTTTGCGATACATATTAAGAAAGAATTGCAGCTACTGGGCTTATATAACACTACTTAATAAAACACGTATCCCGCTAGAGTCATTTCGTCCAAGGCACCCTAACTCCGTCACAAGTAAACTCTACATTATGCATAACAAGAAAAAATTTTCCCTAGTTAATTTTTTTCATAATCTTTTCTCGATAAGACTTATTGAAGAAACAACATAGCAGTAAATACATGAACTTCGACCCATTGATCCATTAAGACAAAATTTGAAACTTTGAACAGCATATATTTCATATTGAGCATTTTAAAATGATTTTATGTTAGTATAATGATCTCATTTGTTGTTACTTTGATTTAGTTTTAAGTCCACCATCGTTCAACTAACATCAAGACAAAACGTGACTAATCTACTATTTTCCTCTGAAAGTTCCTGGTAAAAAAAACAATCTAGAAATGATATTATATTTTTCAGGCTTTTCCGAAAAGAAGACATTATTACACTCTATTACTTATTGAATAGTAAATAAAGTGTTTTCTGCTACTGAAGAATTACAACGAGAGAAATGAAACTATGAAGTTGTCTGAAATCGAAATGATGCAATAAAAATAAGAAAAAAAATCTCGGGAAAGTAAAAATAAGAAAAAGATCGAGGGAAATTAAAAAAAATTTATAATTTTTTAAATGTTCAAAATTTCTCCTTTATGACTTTGAAATCCAATTTCATGTGATTTTTTTACTTGGTAAGAGGAGACTTAGATTTCAATTTAGATAACGAAGCGAACGTTAGGTTAAATCTAATGTTTATCGATCGCTTTGAACATTGAGTGTTGTCAAAATCTTAGGCCTACATTATAGTTAAAGGCACTGGGACTTCGTTGGTTAATTTTTTTATGCTTTAAGGTCTGTCAATAGAGTTGATCTGAAATTGAAGTTCGTATTTAAATGAAATTTGCACAAGAAGGTCTCAATGTCTCATGTATTATATCTAAACCAAAAATAAAACGGTGTTATTCTGTGTATAGAGAGCTGTGCGGTTACACATGTTCAGGCGCGGATCCAGAAACCCGGATCCCCACGGGAGGATTTTAAAATGAAGTAA